CCCTCGACCCACAGGGCACGGCTGACCGGCCCCCAAGGAAGGTCCCCGGGCCTGGAGCACCCCGCGGTGCCGCAGCCTCAGGCCCCTTCCCCCTCTGAACCTTGGCGGAGGACGCGGCCCGGTGAGGGGCCCCACCTCTGGCCATGTACTCGGTGACGATGTAGATGGGCTCCTGGGTGACCACGGCGTACAGCCGGACCAGCCTCTCGTGCTGGAGCGTCTTCATCAGGTTGGCCTCGGCCAGGAAGGCCTCTGGGGACATGGCTCCCTCCTTCAAGGTCTTCACGGCCACCTTCACGTTGTTTTTGTAATAGCCTGAGCCGGGAGGCGGGAGGAGAAGGAAGAGCGGATGAAGCTGCACCCAGAAGATGAAGACGCCTCTCAGAGGCCATCCCTGTGCCAGCAACACATCTCCTGGGCGCCACCCTTCTGGGTGGGGCACCGTGGCCAGCACTGGGGTGCCGCTCTGAGGGCACGGCTGCGGGGCGCTCCCCTGGTGTCCACCCACCCTGCTGTGCGGAGACCTCAGGCAGTGGACGAGCTGACCCTGTGTGGGACGGGGGGCCTTTTGCCTCTTTGATTCCCCCGGGGTCTAGGTGACAGTCTTTTTCCTGGACGTGTCTGCTTCCTACCCCTGCTCTGCCCTCTCTGCAAGGGTCTCTTCTGTCACCTGACAGCTCCGCGGTGGATATTCATAACATCATAGCCCCGGGGACACTGGGCAGGAGGCGGAGGGATTGTGGCCTGTCCTCCTCCTGACACCCCAGACTGTCCTTTCCCATCCTTAAACTTCCCGTGTCTCGTTCCCCACTAGGCCCCCGTGAACACCAGGAGGTACAGCACGAGGGGTCTACCCCCTTTAGCTGCGCCTTGGCTGCCCCCAGGAGTGGCTTCTGCCAAAGCCACCAGGCATCAGCCCTGGGTGTGGGAGCACTCAGGGAGGACTCAGGATCTGCCCCTAGATCCATGTCCCAGGGACCCAGACTCTTTCGAGGTGAATGAAGCCCCGTGTTGTACACTCTGGCTGTGCCAGTGGCAGGCAGGGAGCTGGCACCGGCTGCCAGGGGAAGGCAAGGACACCGGGACCTGGCGGTGGCATGGCTCAGCCGACATGGTGGTCTATCACCAGGGGCTGGAGCTTCGTGGCCCACTGCGTCCAACCTTCTGCTTCCATTTGGTCATGGAAAGCTCAGGGGAGTCAGAGAGACATTCAGGCTCGCATGCAGGCCAGCCCCGGGCCGAGAGGAACGCAAAAGGGAGCGACCCAGGGGCTGGCAGAGCTGGGTTGCAGTCCTGCTTCCCCGTGACCGGTTCTGCGCCTCCGTGTCCTCCTCTGTACAACGGGCATCCTGCCTCTGTCCTCTCTCCCTCCCAAGTCTTTTTTTTTTTTTTTTTGAGTTGGAGTCTCACTCCGTCCCCCAGACTGGAGTGCAGTGGCCGCTCCCGGCCACCGCGGCCTCGACCTGCTGGGCTCCGGCCATCTTTCCACCTCAGCCTTCCAAGTAGCTGGAATTACAGGCGCACATGCTACCACGCCCGGCTGATTTTTTATTTATTGTAGAGATGAGGTCTTGCCAAGTTGCCCAGGCGGGTCTCGAACCCGCGGGCTCAGGCGATCCGCTCACCTCAGCCTCCCAAAGGCGCGGGATTACAGGCTGAGCCACCGAGCCCGGCTTAAAGTTAAGTTTTCAAGACAACTTACTGCCCTGACCCTGAGGCCCAGATTAATAACAGCCCCTTCCCTTTTCCCAGTCTTTATTCTGGCACGCCTGGTTTGGTTGGTGAGAACTATCTTCTGTGCGGTCGAGGGTGTCCCGCTAGAAGGGGGTTGAGACTCACTAAGCTTCCCTCTGTGCTTTTCGGGACTCAGGGCAGGGCGGGGGCTTCTGGGACATCCGTACTCACCCATCCACACTTCGCCAAACTGCCCGGACCCGAGCTTCCTGACCAGCTTGAGGGACTGCCGGGGGATTTCCCACGCGTCCTGGGCCCAGGGGTTCTGCGGAGCCGGGCTCACGCAGGCCAGGGTCAGCTTCTGACACAAGCCGTCCCCTTTCTCTGCAGCCAGGGAGGAAAAGGCAGGGCCGGAGGTGGCTGGAGCAGCCTGGCCCTCTCACCCGAGAGCCACGTCTTGCTCAGCCGTGCCCCCTCACTGCCCCCCGCCCCCCACTCGCAAATCACACACACACACACACACACACACACACACACACACACCCGGTTCTTCTGCCCGGTTTTGCATGAGGCCGGGCAGGCTGCCATTGAACACGCTGCCACCCAGGTATCGTTCTGCTCCTTCTGAGACTGAACCTACTCCCGACTCTTAAGTGGTCCCATGCTGGGCGGGAGAGGGGATCGGGGCACCCCGGCGACTCAGAGTCACCAACTCCTCAGACCCCTCCCAACGACTCACACAACCCGGGGTCTCGGCAACAGGGAGATGCCGGGGCTCCCTGGCACAGACCCGCCCCGCTGGACGGACGCCCCTCTTACTAGTGTAGTGCTGCACCAGGGCCTGCAGCGATGGGAAGGTGACGCGGGGGCAGATGTAATAGCCCCCTGCCTCCACGGAACGGATCTTATAGTGCTTGATCATCTCCCCCTGGCTGGTGACGTCCTTCACAGACAGGGAAAAGGCGCCTGGAGGTTCGGGGGGACACAGGCAAGACAAGGCACCGAGACAAAAAGTCGGGTCGGGATCAGGGCTTCCTTCTGAGGCTTTGAAGAAAGGCTCCCCAGACACTGCTCTTGGTTTTCGCCCCTTCCCCACAAGCTCCCTGTTCCTGCCCCCTCCACCCCCGCCTCCTGGAAGCCTTCCTTGGTGGCCTGTCTGACTCTGCCCTTGACATTCCCCCCCCAAGCCCCCCCCAAACTCAGCCAGGGAATTACAGAGCCCCGTGGCAGGCAGGACAATCTCTTGGCAAACATGTGGGTTCCCCCTTGGGCACCTGGCCACTCAGCGACCCCTTGCCCTGTACTGTGGAGAAATGCAGGCTCCTCGGAGAGACTCACACTTCTAGCTACACAGGGTGACTCCCACTACCACCAGCAAACAGCCAATCACAACCTCAAGTGCCCTTGGCGTTGAGCAGAATGTACTATTTCCCAGGGGCTTTGTCAAATTCATTTCCTGTCTGTCACACACACTCCTGTGTATTTTGTCTCGAGGCTCGTGTTTTCCCGCAGACAAGTGGTAGCAGATGTCAAGGGTTACAGACCAAGGCTAGGAGGTGAGTGTTTCCAGCTGCTTTCCATGAACTGGAAGTTTTCAAATGCCCCTGTCAAGCTCTCTGGGTGCCACAGACTCCCCCCAGCCCCGCTTTGGGAGAGGGGGGCACTGAGTCCCAGGGAGGGCATGGCTGGCTCGGGGACTCCCTGTCCCCACCTGAGTCCGCACCTGCCAGGAGCAGTACGACGCCTCCCCACCAGAGGGCAGGCTCGGGCGCCTCCCTGCCCGTGTTCTCGCTTCCTCTTCTGCGGCCCCCTTCCTCTCTCAGGCGCTTTCCTCTCTTGCCGAACCGCGACCCCAAATCCAGCCCTCCTCGCCTGCCCTCTCCCCAGCAGATGGTGTGCCCGCCTCACCACCTGCTTGCAAGAGGAAGGTGCGAGGCCCCACGCCCCGGCCTGGATGCTGCCAGCCGTCGCCCCCCCCGCCGGGCTTGGGGCCCCGTGCCCTTGGCCTCCGGCCCCGGCTCTAAGGAGTCCATTCGTCCTTGCAGTCCAGAGGGAGGACAAGGCTTTCTTCCCACGGCCCAGGTGCACCCTGTGTAAGGAGCCTTGAAGGAGGGCGAGGAGTCCCAGGGAGCCCCGGCCCCCACGTGGAGGTGTCCATGCTGCGACAGCGCCGGTGCTTGTGTTTCAGGGCTCCCCACTTGCCTCGGCTCCTCCAAGCGCCTGTCCCTGGTGGCTTTGACAATCGGGTGTTCTTTTTAAAGGGGCCCTCAAGTCCTGTCAACCTCAGGTTATCTGAGCCTGGATCCCTCCCTCCGTGTGTCCGGGCTGCACTGGCGAGGCAGGGCCCGGCTCTCCGAGGTGAAGGCTTCTTAGCGCCGGAGAGACCACCTGCCTTGGAGCTGGGAAGCAAGTCGGTCCTCACCGACGCGGGTAAACCAAGGCTTGAGAGGCTCAGGGACACCTTGGAGGCCACGCGGCTAGAGTCTACCCCCCTGCTTCTGAAGGTGGCGTTCCTTCTCTGTCTTGCGTGGACTGGTTGGTGGTGGATCCCAGGAGCAGACCAAGGGGTCTTGCTTGACCGTCCTGAAGAGCGAGTGCCCGCACAGGTGTGAGTGTGTGTGTGTGAGAGTGTGTGTGTGTGCGTGCATGTGGGGGCGGGTGATAGTGCCGGAACAGGTCCTGCAGCCCTGGCTCCATCTTGCCAATTCCGACTCGAACTAGCTTCCCGGGGTGGGCACGGACGGGGGAGACACCTGACTCGGACGGGGGAGACACCCGACTCGCAGAGAATCCCTCTTCCTCTGCACTGGGGCGGGGGTCTACCCCTGCAGAGGCACTGGGAGCATCATTTCCAGAGTGGCATGCCATGAGGTCTGGGATCTGCTTCAGAGGAGGGGGAGGGCGTGAAGGAAACAAGGCTGGCTCGGTGGGCCATCACTGCAGCTGGGGTTGGGCGCAGGGGGCTCCGGGAAACGACCTGCTCTGCTTCCATACCTGTGTGAGACGTACTACAGTGGCAAAACATTTACACCACCTCCAGCCATTCCCACGCGGTTTCTGCCATGGAAGCAGACTAGCGACAAATCCTAATACGTATTCACATACACAACACATAGCTACATGTGTAGATGTGTCTCATCTGCGCATACCTATGTCTATATAAAATTTAGTGCATGTGTGAGTGCATTTCAGGAAATTCTGCCCTGAGTGTCCTAGCTTCCCAAGGCACCCTCACCCCATCCCCAGCCTCGCCCTGGCCTCTGAGCATCACAGGTGTCAGGACAGCTCTCTCCACCAACTCTCACCGGGCCGGGTCCCACTCTCTGGCTGCTGCTCTCAAGCCACGAAGAGACCCAGGGACAGCCAGAGGGTGCTTCCCCCAGGAAAACCTCTGTCCACTCTTCCCAGCCACAGGGAAGCAAACTCACATTCCGGTCGCTCTCTCCTTCCTCCCTCCTCCGATGTCACCGTCACCATCTCCCCTCGGGTTAAAAACTGGCTGCCTATGGGGTCACTTTTGGATAAGCAAAGGGCTTCTTCACGCTGCCTGGGGAGTGTCTTGCCCACCCTCACTGGACACCTTTCGGAGGTTGGGAAGACTCTGAGACTCTTAAATGATTAGGCTCCAGATGCTTTGGGCCTGGTGCTGACTGCTGGCTTCAGGCAAGTCACATCCTCTCTCAGGGGCTGCTCACTTTCCTCATCTATTGGATGGGGGTGTTGGCTTAGTCTCTCAGAGATGGAAAACTAGTGGCAACGAGCACCAAGCAGCTCGTACGCTAAGGGTCCGAGAAGCCCGTGCACGGTAGCCCCACACTGGAAGCAACCCGATGCCACTCACGTTAAAATGCTGACTCGCCTGTTGAATGTCCAACACAGTGGATTCTGCGCCACCGTGAGCGTCCACAGTCTGTCGCCATCCTCAGCAACATAAAGGGGTCTGATGTGGCTGAACCGAGCCCCTCCCAAATTCCCATATTGATGTCCCAACCCCCAGTCACTCAGAATGGGACTGAATTTGGAGACAGGGCATGTAAGCGGTGATTAAGGCAGAATGAGGTCACGTTTCCCGAAATGCACCCACACATTTTGAGGGACAACCACTCGAGGACACAGAGAAGACAGCCAAGGAGAGGGGCCAAGGAGTGGGGCCTCGGCAGGCACCAACTCTGCCAACACCTTGATCTTGGATTTCCAGCCTACAGAATGGTGAGAAAGTAAACGTTGTTTAAGACACCCGGGGTCCAGTTGCAAGTGGCTCACACCTGCAATCCCAGCACTTTAGGAACCTGAGGAGGATGGATTGCTTGAGCCCAGGAGTTCAAAACCTGCCTGGGCAACCTAGTGAGACCTCACTCCACAAAAAAATATTAAAAATTAGCCGGGCAGGGTGGCATGTGCCTGTAGCCCCAGGTACTTGGGAGGCTGAGGTGGAGGGATTGCCTGAGCCCAGGAAATCGAGGATGTGGTGAGTTATGGTCACGCCACTGTGCTCCAGCCTGGGCGACAGAGTGAGAGCGCAATTCAAAAAAAAAAAAAAGACAGTCTGTGTTGTTTCCTGATGGCAGCCCCAGCAGACTGATACAAAATTCCACAATGTTGAGTGAAAGGAGTAAGACACGTGAAAATAAAAGTAGCACGAGCCCGTTTGCATAAAGCTGCGAACACCCAAAACGTGGCTGGGAAGGCCACAAAGAAAAGCAAGGAAGGATTTCCACACACGTCACGACAGTGCCTCACAGGGGTGGGGCTGAACGAGGGGCGGGCCCAAGTACAGGAGTGGGGGGCCCTTGGTCATCTGGAATGTTCTGTCTCTCGGTTTTACTTATTATTACCCTCTACAACTTGGAATTATGCACTCATAATTCATGCAGGCTGTACATGCGTCTTACATGTTGCAACTAAAAGAGTGTTAAGAAGGAAAGAAACCCAAACGAGAAAGGGAGAGAACCCCCTGAGATTTTGCTCTCCCGGCAGATGTGATGGTCCTTCCTTGTCTTACCCTCCCGTTGACATCTGGGCACAGGTGCTTCCCAAATGTACGCTCCCTGCCAGTCTCCAGCTGAGACGGTCTCTAAGGACTCTGTGTGCGCCCAGTCCTCTGACGCCAATGTGTGGCTGGTGCCCGAGGCCTTGGGGTCGCCCCCTCTCTCAGCCCCCACTGGCTTTGGCGCACCTGCTCCCCCACCTGGGGCAGGGTCCCCTGCCTCTGCATCCCCTGCCCTGAGCGGCTTCCAGCCCGGGGGATGGAGAGAACGTTTGGTGTAGACCGCCTCCAAGCCAACTCCTGGGCAGAGCCTGGACTGGGAGGTAAGGCCAGGACCCCAAAGCTGCGGGTTCTGGGTGGCGTCACTTCCCCCTCCCACCCTGGAGCCTGGCCCTGGAGGGGTCTTCCCGGACCGAGCAGGAGAGGAGGGCGAGGGGCCCCCCGGGCTTACCTTTATTGGTTTCGCTCTCTCTGATGAGAAAGGAGCCGGCCTTATTGATTGGAGCCAGGAGCTGCCGCTCGGCTTCCTTCCGGCTAATTGATCGAAAGAACCACCTGGACAGCGCAAGCGTGGGCAAACCTCAGACCGCGGCTGTGTTCCTGGGGATGTTCTTACCAAGCCATGCCCACCCCTGAGAAGTAGCATGTTGCCTTTCTGAGCTGCTCTCCTGCTGTGAGAGACTAAACGCCCTCCGTTCCTCTGTCCCCTTTCCATCTTGTTTCCCACCGGCTGCTGGACTTCGTTTTCCCGGGCTGAGACAAGAACCTCACTGGGTGACCCTGGCGAGTTTCACTTCGGGAAGAAGGCCTGACCACCCTCCCCAGCACAGCTGCCCCCCGGGAGCACACGCCCGTCTCCTCAAGGTCCAGGTTCCGGACTGGACAAACCACCGGAGACCCTCTGAGCACGGATCGCAGCAAGTTCCCGCTCAGCACAGGCCTGCTTCGTGGGGGAGAACCCGGTGGTCCCTCACGGAGCTCCAGGGAGAGAGGCTGCCCTGTAGTGACCAGAGAGGGCATGCCATGGCCACAGCCACCCCGTCCCCATCCTCAGCAGAGCCGGGGTCTGTCCGGCGTGCTCTGTGCACACCTTGCGAGTGGATTCGGGATGGGGGAGAGCTGGGGGTTGAAGGTGGGGATCCTGCTCTCCCAGGAGTGGGTTCCAAACAAACAAGCCGCCCTGAGCCCAGGGACCCGCCCATGGAGGCTGGGGGTGGTGGTTTATGGTCACAGCGGCTCCCATGGGCCCACGAGGCCATCAGACACAGGGGACAGTCCCATTCAGGGATGCCAGGAGAGGGTCCACTCTCATGGAAGAGTGAGCCCACAATGCCGGGAGCCCCAGGGAAGCCTTTCCCGGCAGTTCTGCTGCCCTGTCCCCACTGCCTATGCTGGGTGCCCGAGACGCCTGTTTCTGGCCTCACCCGCCCCCTGGAGCGGCCACAGGGGCTTGGGGGGCTCCCCGTCCACCTACTTTTCGACCTCCAGGCTCTCCACTCTGGCCACAGAACTGCTGGGCACGTAGCCTTCCCTTCCCGTGACGAGTGACTTGGCCAGCCACCAGTCTCCAGCTCTGGGGGGAGAAGGGAAACCCAGATGGACTGTGGCTCCCAGGGGCTGGCACTAGGGTGGCTTCCGCCCCTCACAGCACAGTCTCTCTCCCCAGGGTTGGGCAGGGATCTGGGACAGATGGGAAAGGGCTTGGGTCTGCGGCTCAGTGCCTCTCTGGGCTGGTGCTACCTTACGGAGCACCCGACTGGCAGAAGGGAGGAGGGGGTGCCACGGCCCCTGGGGGGTGGTGTATCCAGACAGCCCCGCTGGCCCAACAGGCCCATGTCTCTGGCCAGCAGTTTTCCTCTGATGCCCGGGACGTGCTTGGAGTGTAGCCAGTGACTTGGGACTCTAGAGAAACACAGACCCGAGGGGCAGCCCACATGGGGTCAAAGTCAGGGTTTTTTTTTTTTGCGCTGGGCTCAAGGCCACTGCAGAATGTCAAGGGCAAAATCAGGACCTCACAGGACAAGGCTGGCGACTGAGAGAGCAGAACTCGGGGATGTTTCTGAGAAGGAACACTGAAATGCTCTGCGGTGAAATTCGTGCATGGAATCTTGTGTGGGCTCCTGTCTCAAGAGGGAGACAAATACCAACACAACTGACTCCAATTCAAGGCTCTTACGGAACAGCCAGGCAAGCCCGCAGAAGGCCGGAGGGAGTCAGGAGGGCTGTGCAGAGGAGGTGGCGTTCAGGTTGGGTTTGAAGGATGGTCTGGGGGTTGGGAATGGAAAGCAGAAAAGCTTTGGAGAGGAAGCCGGTTGGGTCAAGCTTCAGGAACTGCTGGGCGCTGGGGTCGGGGCGGGGCCGTGAAGATTCCCGGAGTCAGCCGCGGAGAGCGTGGCAGGCGGGGGGCCGAGGGGACGGTGGGGGACGGGGACCGCATCCCGGAAACGCACCCCTTCAGCACCCGCAGCTTCTCCCCCTTCAGCATCTGCAGGTCCCGGTCGTTCACAGCGACGTAGTCGTGCAGAGCCACCGCGAAATGCTCACCTGGAAGGCACGAGAGAGATGGCTGCCATTCGGGTACACGAGAGGTGGGTCAGGGCCGATGTGGGGAAGCCGGGGTGCCAGCCACCTCCTCCCACCACGGCGACAGGCTTCTGCTTGGTGCCGGCAGACCGGCCTCCTGACCCTCTGAGTCTGCCCCAGGGACAGGCGGCCCCTCCGAGCTCACCCTCTGTCCCTTCTGGCCCCACTAAGAAGCCCTCGGGCCTGGGCAGGCCTTGAGTGAGAAAACGGATAGCCAGAGGCGAGCCGTACAGAGGAAACCACAGCTGCCGGGTAGCTGGGGGCCGCACTTCAGGGAGCCAGGCTGGCCGAGCCCACATCTCTCTGTATCCTTCGCCTTGCCTCTGAGAGAGATATTGTAAGCCAAGTCCTCATCCTGCCTTAACCCTCGCCTTGCCTCTGGGGGAGCCAGTGTTAGCCGATCCCTCCTCCTGACTTACCCCTCGCCTTGTCTCTGAGGCACATAAGCCTCCTGTCTCCCCTCTCCCCGTCTGTCCCCCAGCCTCTATCCCAACAGAGGGGCATCTTGGGACATGGCAGCTGAGGAGCCCTGACCTCTCACACCCTCTGTGCCCAGAGCCCCCACCATGGTGCCTCTGGCTGGCAGGACCCCTGTGCTCCGCCCAGCTGGTGGCCCCTGGAATGGAGATGGGAAGAGGGCTTGAGAACATGGCACGCCATCCTTCATATGAGCTCCGCTAGTGACAAGGGCTCTTTGCACAGCTCGGGAAGCCCAAAGGCCTGCCTGGTAAAGTCACCAGAGACCGCTAAGTTCCCCGGAGGTCGGTGTCCCAGCTCTGCCACTGATGAGTAGTGTGTCCTTGGGCTGGTCACCTCCCCTTGGAGGGAAAGAAGGGGTTGGAAAAGGTGATGGCTGTCCCTGCGGGTCTAGGATTTGAGTTTGTTCGCTCCCTCCTGCGAGCTTCCCTCCGGGGATGTGGATCCTCCTGCCAAGATGGGAAGGGCCGCCCACCCTGCCGGAAACGAAGCCAGGCCAGGCGAGGGCACGGACCTGGTTCCTGTGCTTTGCTCAGACGGGATTGACTCTGGGGTCCTTCCCGAGGATCTGGTTCTGCCTCTGCCGACTCCTTCCCAGGCCAGGCCTTGGCAGAGCCTGCCCTGCGCTGTGTGCTCCAGGCGCGCCCTGTGAGCGGGTCCACAAGTGGGGCCCTGGCTTGGGGGTTACCTTCTTGGCGCTGCGGGGAAGGTGTGATGGAGGTTGCAGGGAGCCAGTTCCGAGCAAGGCTCCCCTCAAGGGGCCCTTCGAGGGCCGAGCCCCTGGCCCAGGAGGGCCAAGCTCATTCGCTGAGCACCCGCAGGCCGGCTGCCAGGCAGAAGTGGAGTCCGGAGACCAGGGAGGGGGCTCTGAAGGTTCTCTGCCCCGTCTTCTCCCTGTTCCAACCCCATGGATGGGGGCCTGGCAGAGGGGGCTGCAGGGTCTCGGTTTCCCAAATCTTACCTTGGTCCAGGGCTTCGTCGGGAGGAGGCGGAGTGAGGTGGCTGAAGACGACCTTGAGCAGAAACACACACCTGGGTTAGTTCAGCTCCCTGCAGCCTGGGCGGGGCTGGGCAGGGAATCGCTGGGTGCGGGGGTCTGGGGTGACCAGCTCAGCTGGAAGAAGGGTGGCCCCTTTGGAGCCTGCCCCGGTGAATTCTGCTCCAGCTGCTGGCTCTCCCCAGGTACCAGGGCCGCCCGCAGACATCCCCCGATCGTATGCTGTCTTTGCCCTGACCACATGTGGGGACAGCCCGATTTTGATAGGAGTTAGCTGGGGAACGGGGTGGGGAGAGGGAAGCCCGAACCCTGGGGTAAAAGCCCCGCTCGGCCACTGATGATGTTGCAAAGGGGCGTTTGTTGACACGGGAACACGTTTCAAAAGTGTTTCCTGCAAAACCAACAAATATTGAGATATTCCCTGTAGGGAACATTTTGCATATGAGTACCAGGAAACGCGTGCAAGAATGCTCCTAGCAATAATAATGATGATGATATATGCATACAGACATAAACAATTCTAAACTGTGGAAGTAGCCCTTATGACCAATGACGCAGAAATAGACACACTGTAGAACTGTCATGCCGTGGCGAGATGCGTGAGCTCCAGTGGCATGCATCAACCTGGAGAAAGCTCGCCAATGTAATATGAAGCCCAAATCCAAGTCCCAGAAGAATATGTGCAGTTGATTCAGTCGGTTTAAAGCTCACCACATGAAAAGTGACACTAAGTCTTGTTCAAGGATATATACATGTAGGATGACACTAAAAAGCAAAATGAAGCCACGATGCACGGGTTTGGGCTGTTGGGGCCTGGCGGGGCCAACCGGGGAGGGAGCCAGCAGGTCCCAAGGTTGGAGTCACTTTCTGTTTCTGAGGTCGAGACACGGCTGCACAGGTGTGTGCTTTGCTGCAGCCTTTCAGCCTGACATGCCCGCCACAAATATTCTATTTTGTATTTCACTTTCTGTTTCTGAGGTCGAGACACGGCTGCACAGGTGTGTGCTTTGCTGCAGCCTTTCAGCCTGACATGCCCGCCACAAATATTCTATTTTGTATTTCACATTCGTTGGACACAACTTTGGAGTTGCATTTTGCACAACGGTATGTAGGGTGTGGTTTTATTAAAAATATGAACACGCGCCACAAAGAATGCACAGAAAAAAGGTCTGGAGGCAGGAGCTCTGGAGAGCGAATTCTGGTATCTCTGGGTCATAGGATAATGAGTAATTATAACTTCTCTTCCATACTGAATATATATTATGTGACTTTTTAAGTTAAAAAGTTCCAGGCTCTACTACTTGTTGGTATATACCCTTGGGGAAACTAATCTGCCCAAGTCTAAGTTTGCCCATTAGATCATTTATTCACTCAACAAACAACTCATTGCTGCATGCCGAGACCTGTGCTAAGTTGAGACACAGAGAGATAAGATGCCCAGGGTCATCTATGGCCTGGGGTTAGCCATCTCCATCCACCCTCAGGTCCCTGGTAGAAGAAAGAGATGACCACTTGGACGTGCCCGTGGTAGCAGACGGCGCAGGAGACGGGGGTCCAGGCCTGACTCCCAACTGCCCCAAGCCAAAAGGGGTCAGTGGTCTGGAAGTGAGGGACACAAAGAATCGTCTGAAAATGCATCTTTAGAGACATAGGAGTGAGACATCAAGGGGTACTAACTGCTTCGTAAACCAATTAGAACGGTGTAACAGGGAACGTGAATTTTCTAGCATTCAAATCTTTCCACTTGAAATTTCACTTTTTTCTTCTCTGAAAAGTTTTCCTTTTTTCTTTTTTTTTTTTTTTTGAGTTGGAGTCTCACTCCGTCGCCCAGGCTGGAGTGCAGTGGCACGCTCCCAGTCACTGCAGCCTCGACCCGCTGGGCTCTGGCGATCCTTCCACCTCAGCCTTCCAAGTAGCCGGAATTACAGGCATGCGCTACCACGCCTGGCTAACTTTTTATTTACTGTAGAGATGAGGTCTCGCCAAGTTGCCCGGGCTGGTCTCAAACCCATGGACTCAGGCAATCCATTCACCTTGGCCTCCCAAAGTGCTGGGATTACAGGCTGAGCCACCGAGCCTGGCCTCTGAAAAGTTTTCTACACTTAAAGTACCCATGGGTGCCAGAGGAACTTGAGAGTCTAATGGGCGGTGAAGAGAGGCACCCTCTGGTTTCAGCATGCTCCCAGGAGAGCAGGTCTTTGGAACACTGACAGCCATGACACACAGGGGACAGTGGTCTCCCGGAGCTGCCGGGGAAGGGAGGGCCCGGCAGATGTCACTAAGTGCTCTTGCCCTTGCCTGCCATACCCTCTCCCCAAGCTAATCTTTTTTATTTTTATTTTTTGAGACAGGGCCTTGATCTGTTACCCAGGCTGGAGTACAGTGGCGTGATGATTGCTCATTGTAACCGCAAACTCCTGGGCTCAAGGGATCCTCCCACCTCAGCCTCCAGAGTAGCTGGGTCTACAGGTGTGTGCCACCATGCCTGGCTAATTTTTTTATTTTGTATTTATTTATTTTTTGGAATCTCACTCTGTCCCCCAGGCTGGAGTGCAGTGTATGTGTGACGAGTGCAGTGGAAGGATCACAGCCACTGCAGCCTTAACCCGCTGGGCTCAGCCTTCCAAGTAGCTGGGGCAGAGGCACGTGCCACCACACCAGGCTAAATTTTCTGATTTGTTGTAGAGACAAGTTCTTGTCCTGTTGCCCAGGCTGGTCATGGCTAATTTTAAAATTTGGGGACAGAGACAAGATCTTGCGAGGTTGCCCAGGCTAATCTCACACTCCTGACCTCAGGTCCTCCTCCCACCTCAGCCTCCCAAAGTGCTGGGATTACAGGTGTGAGCCACCAGGCCTGGCCGTTTTGTATTTCTTTTGCTTTTCAAGGTTTTCCTTGAGAACCGCACTCTGACTGGGAATTACCGGGGGCTAACAAGGCCCGGCTCTAGGCATCTCGTATTGCATCGTGCCCTCGCCCATAGACTGCATCTTGCTCCACCTCTATCAGGAAGGCACAGTCGCCATATTCACTTTACAGACATGAAAACAGACCTCGAGGAACCAAGCAATCTGCTTCCTGGGGGTCTGATCACTCACCAGGGGAGGCAGCGGTGGGGGGACCTTGCTCTGGGCACTGGTCTTCACGGGGCTCCATCGGCCCTTGCCCCTGTCCTTGACCTGCTTCTTGCTGCTCACCAGACCCATCCTGTTGGAGACACATCCGGGGGCTGACATGCGACGCTGGTCCTCGGACCCTCTGCATCGAGGTGCTCCCCTAGTCCCTTCCAGGTGGCCGGTTAGAAAGGCAGGTGGAAGTGGGTGCAGGGAGGACCTCAAAGGAAGAACATGAAAGAAGGGGGTGGGTGAGCTGAGCTTGCATCTGTCTTTACCCAGGGGCCCAGAGAGGAGAAGGGACTGCACGTGTGACACTGAAATCACCTGGCCCAAGGCAACTGCGAGGGTTGGATCCCAGGCCTCTGGGGGACAGGAGCCTGGGGAGCTAGGCCACGGGGTGTTTTAGACAGAGACTGGACCCGGTGTCTGGTGGGCTGGCCTTAGTCTGTGTTTTGCCGTCGGCTGTATCACTGGGAAGGTCACACTTCCTCCCCGGGTGCACGAGCTCCTTTGAAAGTGGCGGGGCTTGGTTAGAACATGTCTAAGGTTCCCTCCCACCTGGATTTTCAGGAGAGATGCTATAATTCAGGAACGGCATGCAGCATAGGCATCTAGGGCCAACTGTAACTTCTCAGTGAGACAGGGAGTTTTTTTGGAGGTGAGAAAAATAGGGTCAAGTTGTTTCTTTGGCTAAAAATATCTTAGAATGGAAACGTGGGAAAGACCCTGAAGACCACGCCATCCACGCTGCCACACCCTCTCCATCCGTAGTCCTGGAGCACTATTTAAGGAGGGTTGATGTTCCATGTTAAACGGCTTTCTCACAGCCAAACAGCTGACCGGTAGAGAGCCAGCGCTGGGCCTGTCTGACCTGAGACCAGCACCCTCTTGCACCCACATCTGGTCCATCCGCAAGGGATAGACATTCCCAGGCAGAAGCACTGGAGTCCCTACACCCATCTGAAGGGTGTGTGGTTAGTGGCAATTTCCTTCAGGTATATGCACCATCTGTCATCAATTCTGACGCACGCCTTTTCTTTTTTCACATTTCAACGTCTCCGAAACGGGGAGGCGTCTTACAATGGATGATGCTTTGTGGTGTAATTAGTAGCTGTGTCTTTTTTCTCCCCTCTTTTAGTGGTACGTAAAATAAACGCTAGCCTTCCCATCCATGGTGACCCAGAGTCAGGATACGGGGATGCACTTTTTCCAGAGAGTTCAAAGCACATTTGTCATAGCATCTCTCCTCAAACTCACCTTGAAAAAAGAAAAGACTATAATAATTTTGGGTGCAGGATACAAAGCCACAGTGACAAAGAATCCATAGTATTGGGGGGTATGTCTTGCATATAGAGTGCAGAACAGTTAACATTTTAAGCTTTTTATATTTAAGTAGTTTTTTGTGTGTGTGAGTTCAGAGCAGCTTCACCACCAAAATTATCACAGCACCAAAACTATAAACATCACTTCAGTTTTCAGAGATGTGGGGTTCCAGAAGTTTGGATAAGGGACTGTGGGTTTGTATTAGGAATAGCCACTGATTTTATCAGGTGCTCTTTAACATCTATCCATATGACCATTTTTCTCTTTTAATTTGATGATTAATGAGGTATGTTGATAAGTTTTTTCCTACTGAAACACCTTTGCATTCCTGAAATAAAAGCAGTTTGGTTATAGGATATTCATCTTTTTGACAATGGATGAATCCCATTTGCTAATATTGTATTTAGAATGAGAATCTAAATTCCCAAGTGAGGAAATGTCCAGGAGGCATTAGCATTAAGGCAATACTGGCTTCATAAACTGCACAGGAACTCTCTGGTCTTGAGTAGTTTAGTAATGTTGGAGTTATCTGTTTTTTAAAGGCTCGATGGAACTCAGTTGTATGTCATCTGTTTCTGGGGCTCTTTTAAAGATAGATCTTTCGGCCGAGCTCAGTGGCTCAGCTTATAATCCCAGCACTTTGGGAGGCCGAGGCGAGTGGCCTGCCTGAGCCCATGGGTTCAAGACCAGCCCAGGCAACTTGGCAAGATCTCGTCTCTATGATAAAAGTCAAAAATTAGGCGGGTGTGGTAGTGCACGCCTGCAGTTCCAGCTACTTGGAAGGCTGAGGCAGAAGGATCGCTGGAGCCCAGCAGGTCGAGGCTGTGGTGACTGTGAGCATGCCACTGCACTCCAGCCTGGGCAATGGAGTGAGATTCCAACTCAAAAAAAAAGAAAAGAAGAAATATAGATCTTTCAATATATTTCCAATTTCTCCTACAGGAATGGTCTATTCCCACTTTTCCTCCTCCCTGTGACATTTCTTCATGATTCTTTTTTTTAAATTTAATTTTATTATTAGTATTTTTTTTTTTGAGTTGAAGTCTCACTCTGTCGCCCAGACTGGAGTGCAGTGGCCACTCCCGGCCACCGCAGCTCGA